TGTATTATATTTTAGCAATTTTTTCTAATGTACTTGACATGCTTGTTAAAGACCACGTTTAAGGAGGAATACGATAGTACTTTTTTTGTGGCTATGCATGTAAGTTTCGTAAAGTATTTGGTTTTAATTTCTTTAGTTTCAGGGAAATTGTGAGAAATACTATTTGTACTTTCAAGAACTTAATCGTAGAAAATTCTGTTATACCATAATTATTATTAAGCGTGTTTATTTAACATCTATTCTATTTGGAAGATATTCCATACATGTGTTTTGTAACTAAGTCTCTCTACGTTTTACATGGTCATCGTTCGTAAGAAATTTAAATATGCCGTGGAAGTTTTGATTACCTGAAATGACGAAATGGCTTTGTTTTTTTGCTAACAACAAAATGTACAATAAATTATTATGTTGTTGAAACTTGCTTTGACACAGTATATTGTATCAGATTAAATCGTAAAGTTATTATGTATAATCATTATTATAACAATTTATGAACGATAAGAAAGTCAATTTTGTCAAAATTTTATATTCGACGTCAATAACTGTAGTATATGTGTTACTTACGTCACCAAAGGTTGCTATGGATAACTGAAATATTTTTCCCGCAGTTATCTTGATAGTGTGACTCGATTGCATGATTATCAAAATGAGACCGAGCGCTGTTTTGTGAGGCAGTTTATACCAATTAGTCATATATGTTATGTCTCCAATTTTTTCACACTAATAAATAAAAATATTTAGAAATTTCTTTGAGTATCTGAACGTCTAACGCCGATGGTAAAAAGATATCAAAGGATACTATTAATCAGATCTATTTGCTTGACTCGTATTACTGTAGTTACAATTCAATGGCCAGTGTGAGTCTGGGGTGCAGTTGTATATATATGCGGAAAATTAAATTATATAATACAAATATTGACACTATTATTGCGATTTCTGTTATTTCGATCTCTAGTAAAATCATCATTTGGTAATCTTTAGTGGACTAATTAGTCCACTAAAGTCCACTATGGATTTCAGTAGAGATCGATACTGGTTCTAGAAATTGCAATAACAGTGTAATTACTTGTACTATGTACGTAATTTGATATTTAAAAATATTTTGATCTTTGCAACTACACATGTTAATTAGTTTATTAAACATTAGTTGTTTCAGCAATTATTATAAGTTGCATGTCAACCATCAAACATTTTTAATCAAGAATTAATTAATTCAACTAATGTTTATTTAAACTAACTAAAATGTTTAGTTGCACGTATTGGACTAAATATTTTTCCGGATTAACAAATTTTTTTCTCAGTGTACATAATCAAATTAAATGAATTTTCACACGTCTAAAAAATATTTTTTATTTCAAGGTATTACCTCTTTCGTGAGGATTTCACCGATGTAACAATATATAAATATAATGATACACGCTGTCAAGTATGCCGTAAAATGTGATAATAATTTTGCCTTATCGAACGCACTCCAGTTCTGGAAAATAAATTGCTGTCTTTATTTACTGCAGGAAAATAAGGTAATCTGTTTTTGCGGCATTTCAATTATCTGTTATCTGTTATTAATTATTAATTATCTGTTATCTGCGATTTGAGACGAAGTTTTAGTTATTATCAGCATACCATAATAACGAAATATCCCATTAAGCACATAAGTATGTTAGATCCCATCAATTCTGCTAGACAGGCTTTATTCATAATACTTTCTATTTGTTGTATAAAACTGAAACATATCTCTGCAGTTACGACACATCAAGCGTGATGGTATGTTTTTTTGCAAAATTTATTTTAGACGATCTACGATATGTGTTAGTATTCAGAATATATTTTTTACAATCTTTGTGTACTGTGTAATATGAAGAACATTTAAATA